GTTTGTTTCGCTCACAAAACGGGCCTTTATTTCGGTTCAGCGGTTGCTTTTCGGCGGTCCTTATAATGTGCTCTCATTTAGTCTACAATGAGATCCTATTTATACTGACAGTCGTAACGCTTGTGGCAAACAATATCGCTTTCAGTCCATACTTTGCAATGCATTCACACGAACCCCACGATCGCACCCGAAGGGCAGCCACGGCGAGGGCCGAGCGGCTCTGGGACTACGGGGTCATCCCCTACGAGATTGAGGCCAACTTCAGCGGTAAGTGTTTTCGACCCATTCGTTGAATGCGTGACCACTGATGACCACATGACTTGGCCGGGCAGGTGACCACAGGGCGCTGTTCAAGCAGGCGATGCGGCACTGGGAGAACCATACGTGCGTCAAGTTCGTGGAGAGGGCTCAGGAACATCCCAATTATATTGTGTTCACTGAGAGGCCGTGTGGGTATGTTCAGCAGCATCCCTACTGCATCCCCATCCCTACCGTTCCCCCACAGCTGTGTGTATATCCCTATCTCTCTCTCTCTCTCTATATAATATCATATTATGATAGCTCTATAGCTCTATAGCCCTAAAACACTGCTGTCTGTAGTGTGCGATAGACTCGGATATACAGCACAGCGAGAGATATAAATAGAAATCGAGTTTTGCATTGATTTGCAGCCAAAACCCCAACAACTCTCTCGTGTGTATCGCATTGTAATGGGTTTTGCATTGAAACTACAGGTGCTGTTCGTTTGTGGGGAAGCGAGGTAACGGTCCTCAGGCCATATCGATCGGCAAAAACTGTGATAAATTCGGAATAGTTGTCCACGAGTTGGGACATGTGGTCGGCTTCTGGCACGAGCACACCCGGCCGGACAGGGATGACAACGTCCAGATCGTCACCAAGAATATCATGTCTGGTATGTATGTGACAGCTGTGACGGCCCCCTACACCCCCTCCCACTTGAAAATTCTGTACTAACAAAAGGGTTGTTGTGTGTGTGTGTTATGTATGTCTGTCTGTCTGTGCGCACCGTTAGGTCAAGAATACAACTTCAATAAACTGACGGAAGAGGAGGTGAACTCATTGGGTCTGAACTACGACTTCGACAGTATTATGCATTACGCGAGGAATACATTCTCGAAGAGCACTTATTTGGACACAATTTTGCCACAACAAGACCCCACACTCAATGTGCGCCCAGAGATCGGACAGAGGGTACGGCTGAGCAAAGGCGACATCGCGCAGACCAAAATGCTGTACAGGTGTCCGAGTGAGTGACCGCCACTTCCTTTCCAATTTCATATATACATCCCTTTCCTCTAAGTTATATCCCTTTCCATTAAGTTTTATCTCATTAGCGGTGCACTGATTTCGTGCCATAAATTGCAACTTTATTTGCAATGCATTTGCCGTAATTGTAACAGAATTTTATTGCTTTTAATGGTTTATGTTTTGCAAACATTACTCATATATAATATAAACTTTTCTCGCGATTCTCAATGCATTGATGTCTCTATTTTGAGCACAAATTCTTAGAAAGGATTAAATATTTACGTTTGGGATTAAAATATTCATTATATTGTTATTGACTTTAGTTTGTGATGAATGTCTTTCATCAGAAGTGCTTCTCATATATTGATATATCTCTCAAGACGTGATTTAAGTGCTAACTGTTAGGAAAGCGAGTAATATATCAAAAACATTGACTTATATTTAATATCTACATTCATTCAAACAAATCCAGTTGATACAAGCTATTGAAATATGAATTATATCATATAATTTATATGCATTAAAAGCAAGCAAACTTTTATGGCTAATCCATTATTTATAAGTAAAATGAGTTTATTTGATCCCCTAATGGCATAATTTTTGTTGAAACAGAGTTACTGTACTTTTGTTGATAAAAAACTTTAATAATGCGATTAAATGCGTGAAAAAATTGTACAAAAGGTGCGATTGTATCGGCAATTGGCGACTAAACGCTGGCATTCTTAGCGCAAGCTTTATATCAAATGAGTTATGGAGTCCAACGAAATTAATTTTGATGTCTTTCCCCTTATATCTTGATATCATTAGATTAAGTGTACTTTCAATCTCTTATTGTAAGACATTTATAGCGGTGTTTACATTACACGCGATATGAACTCATTCTCGCTAACTATAGCCACCACTCGAAGCAATTAATGTGCTGTAAATCCGAGCGCATATAAAATCTCAAACACTTTGCTATCATTTGAAATGAAAATTTTCAACTCTTGAACTTAAAATAATTTTGTCAATTATTTCTGGAGACGAATATATGGTTTTGGGATTTGATGTTTGTTTTATGAATTCCCATTCCATTAACCCCTTAAAGTGTGTCCTATTCTGTGACATAATTTTTGTTGAAACAGAGTTACTGTACTTTTGTTGATAAAAAACTTTAATAATGCGATTAAATGCGTGAAAAAATTGTACAAAAGGTGCGATTGTATCGGCAATTGGCGACTAAACGCTGGCACTCTTAGCGCAAGCTTTATATCAAATGAGTTATGGAGTCCAACGAAATTAATTTTGATGTCTTTTCCCTTATATCTTGATATCATTAGATTAAGTGTTCTTTCAATCTCTTATTGTAAGACATTTATAGCGATGTTTACATTACACGCGATATGAACTCATTCTCGCTAACTATAGCCACCACTCGAAGCAATTAATGTGCTGTAAATCCGAGTGCATATAAAATCTCAAACACTTTGCTATCATTTGAAATGAAATAAAAGTTGAGAACTTGAATTTTATTAAAACAGTTAATAAAGACCTCTGCTTATATACCAAAACCCTAAACTACAAACAAAATACTTAAGGGTAAGGTAATTGGGGAATTTCACACAGGATAAGACACCACTATTCATACGATTCTTGCAGTCAAATACATGTTTAGACTATCGTTTCACTTCATTTATACGGCTATTAACCATTTAATTATAGGAATGCCTGTTAATACCGGTGCTAACGCTAATGAAATCGCATTGCACCGCTGTATTAGTCATTTCCAACAAAATCTCAATAAATATTTATGATTATTCAGGATTTAGTGCTATTTCATACGAAAATCAATTTTCCAGAATTGTAAACAGTTATGACTAATATATCAATAGTTATTTATAATAGATTTGTGCAAATAATTAAGTTTAAAACAATTTTTAAAACAATTTTCTAAATGAGAATTTTGCTGAATATTTAACCATTAGCAATTTTTGCTAATTAAAATTATGCTATATTTGTGAAAGAATTTCAGAAATTCTGTAATTCTCATTATGTCTTAATTTTCAGATCATTTAATTTTCTATATTTTTTTCCATTTAATTTGCTTTTAAATATTTTTGACTTTCCGAAAAGGACTCCGTGTTTATTATATCGCATAATTAATTGTAAGTTTGCACATGCATGTGTAACTAAGGTGTTATTTAATAATTTGCTTTAATTATTTATGTATTTAAGCAAATTCTTGGAATTATTTGTAGAGAAATATTACAAACACTAAGTTTATAGATAAGCAATATTATGAAAATAAATAAGATTTTTTTAAATATTCATATTTATGCCTTATTTAGAAAAGTAGTACAAATATTGTTTTGTATAGTTTGGCGAAATGAGCGCAATTTGTTTGGGATTTCATTTGAAGGTTTATATGAATTAATCCGATTCCTGACAGAATAGGTTTAAATTTTAGTTCAAGCTGTAGTGCAGAGTATTAGAGTATATATAAAATGAGCATTTAGATGAAATTCGGTTTTTATAAAGTAACTGAGGTGTTAACTACGGGAATAGAGACTCTTACATTTCTAAACTTTTTATTTTGTAATTGAATTATAGGAAAGTGTTGTTTAATTATGTTTGAAGCGATTCACGCTAAAAAGTTCATTATTTTGCAGATTCTCATATGTTTTTATTAATTTTTTAAGTTTCGTTGCAAAAGTTATTTTCACTTTTATTTGACTTCATTTCGAGTCTCGCAATCTTATAGTACTTTTGAAGTGAAGATTAAATTAGTTGATTGTCTTGTGTGTTATGAATAGATCTGTTGATTGAAAAGTGGTTCAAAAGTATTTAATTTATCAAATATTGTGTTATTTATGTCATTATAACTATAAATTTATTTCTATGAACTTTTTAATAACGATTTGATTATTTCAATGTTTAGTCCTGTGAGTGAATTTTTAGATAAATTAAATTAACCGATAATTTAAAGTTTTTACTTTAAATCTAATTCAATCCTAATCTGAACTGAGCTAGGTTTTAGTTTTATAAATTAGGAAACTTATATTAATATTATTATATATTCTTGATGTGAAGATTTTCTTATGCTTAATTTTTAGTAAGTTTTTTACTCAAACTATATATTTTTGTTTTAAGCTTTATATTTATAACATTTAATTTAACACATAATTTAATAAAATGGGAAAATGTGATTTTTAAAAATTTTCTAATTTATTGCTTTTTACCAAATCTCCTGGCTTAATTTTTAAAATAGTTTTAACAATTTGTACAATGTTTGTTTAATATTGTTACGGGTAAGAATTAAGTTTAAATTAAATTATGTATTTATATTCTGTCGAAAAGAGTTATTTAATTTTATTTGTTTTAAATACATTTGTCTAAAGTTTAATACAGACAATGAGCGCATTGTTACTTGTATTTTGTAAATAATTTTAAGGAAATGATTATTCTTGAAAAGTAGCTATAATTATGAACCAAATGAAAACCAAAAATATTTATTCTTTAGATGTACATTATGATAAATGTATTTTAAGAATCTCAAGTATAAATTACTTTAAAGTACAGTAATTTTATTTGAATTAATTGTGAGTATCATACCGAGAAAATAATACAAGGATTTAAGTAATTCTATATTAAAAACACTTTAAGTTATAAAGTTGTTATCATATCCACGAATAAAGTCATGGCTATTAACTTAATTTGCCATGGTCGAGGTTGGACCGATCTGAGACAAAATATTCCCGGTTGTTTATTATTTATATATACCCGTTATTATTATTAAAACTTTTTAAAAGATGTTTTGTAACTTAAATTTAACATTATAAACCATAATTACACTGCAGATATCAATAAGCTGTATAATAGACATATCTACAGTCAAATGATTATATGATTTTAATAAGTTGTCTTATGAAAAGGCACGAGCTACTTTATTACACGGTTGTATGACATGATCGGGTCGAGAATGCCGACTCGAGACCTACTCTATCAATCATAAGTGCAATACACTGTAATCTAAGTTTGTTTAGTAATCTTGAGACCCATGCACATCGAGAATGTTTAAAATCAAGTAATTCTATACATTTCCTAAAAGTATTTTTAATTTTATTTAGTAATGAGAATATTTACACATTAAGTGCTACTACATTCTCAACTATTTTGACAAAACTTGGTGTTTAGTAATTTTTGTTTATTAAGAAGTGTGAATAGCTATGAGATTCTTATTCTTATCGTTACTATTCTTGTGCCAGAATGTGGTCGAACTATGCAAGAACCTAACGGTGCTCTCGAGTCACCCGATTATCCCAAGTCTTCGCCGCCACCGGAAGGAGAGCACTGCGAGTGGAGGATCACTGCCACTCACGGGGAGAAGATTGTACTCAACGTAACGGATCTCGATATCTATGAATCAGACAACTGTGAGACTGACTTCTTGGAGATTAGGGACGGCTATTGGCCTAAGTCTCCACTTTTAGGTTTGTGTAACCAGTTTATAGACTTAATTCTTGCGGTATATATATATATATATATATATATATTTGAAACAGATTTTTGTTATATTAGTCATTACAACATTAAATTAAAATTTACTAAAGAGTTGTGACAAAAAAGATTTATGAGTTTGTTTTTACAGCAAATTGTTCCGAAAACTAGTGTTTAATATAATACACCATAAGGTCTATACCGCTGCACAGTATAGGTCTCATAGATTAGCCATAGATTTCAATGTTACATAAAACACTAACAAACGAGACATTTTGGGTATTATTTTTATAAATAGGCGGCAATTAATAATAATAGTCATTAATTTATGTTTATTTTGTTCATTAAACGCAAATTTATGGTGAAATCTATCGATTTTCAGGAAGATTTTGCGGGTCTGGCAAAGCGCCCACTACTCTAATGACTACGGGATACAGAATGCTTGTTATTTATAAGTCCTCACCCAATCAGCACAGCCATCGAGGCTTTAAAGCCAATTACGAAGGTATGGGACACACCATTCATGAACTCTTCCACTCTGCGCTCTATTTTCAGCTCATTTCTTAATCACATCCCTTTCCCTTTCCATCCATAGCCCTATGCGGCGGTGAGATCAACGCAGAGGAGGGCACTCTTCAAAGTCCCAACTATCCCGAGGACTACCGGCCCAACAAGGAGTGCATCTGGAAGATCACGGTTCCCGAGAACTTTCAGGTGGCTCTCAAGTTCCAGTCCTTCGAGATCGAGAACCACGACAACTGTGTCTACGACTACCTCGAAGTGCGCGACGGTCACAACATGAATAGTCCACTATTAGGCAAATTTTGCGGCTATAAAGTGCCGGACGCCGTGCGCTCCAACTCTAACAAACTGCTCGTTAAGTTCATGTCTGACAACTCCGTCCAAAAGGCAGGCTTTTCGGCCAATTTTATCAAAGAGTTTGACGAGTGCTCCGATTCAGACCACGGCTGCGAACACGAGTGCGTCAATACGTTGGGAGGCTATCGGTGTGAATGTAGGATAGGCTTTGAGTTGCATTCGGACGGCAAGAAGTGCGAAGACGCCTGCGGGGGACTCATCGACGCCACCAACGGCACGATTGTCAGCCCCTCGTTCCCCGACCTGTACCCGCCCAACAAGAACTGCATTTGGGAGATAGTGGCCCCACACAGCTTCCGGATTACACTTAATTTCACTCATTTTGATTTAGAGGGCAATAATGTTCGTTGTGTTCATGATTTTGATTAACA